TTACCCGCTTTTTTTATACTTATAAATTATAGCACCCGCAGTATTTATATTCAAAGATGAGTCAACTTCTACTAAAGATTAAGTATAATAATTTGTTTCTATATTTATATCATTATATAAATACTAAAAATGTCCTTTTTTTATTCAATAAAGATTAAAGGATGATACAATGTTATTCTATTCAAAACATTTTTAATTTTACTACCTAATTTTAAARTTAATTATTATCCCCGTATTTAAAAATATCTGACCGTCCTACGTCATGTTCATGACTATAAAAGACGGAATTTGTATCTTGAAAAATAAACAGTTATTCATAATAATTTTAGTATTTACTATTTTTAATTTATCTCAACAAATTAAAAGTAATAACACGATCATAATAAATCAAGTAATGTTGTATTTCAGTTTCTACTGTATTGGTGCCTACCTACATAACCGATGGCAAACCGACGTCTATAGAAAATAGAAGTGTAGTAGACTATAGCTATAGCGTGTTTACCAATAAGTTCAACAGTATAATAATAATCGATAATTAGATTGCCGTATACACAGCATTACAGCAATATTATCCACGCATGATATCGCATTGGAAATTTGGARACATAATAATATTATTATTGGTGACTTWATGCATCGATACGAAACGTTCAACACGTACGTACAAAAATAAAACCGATAAGTTATTATTTATTTATAACACCGTGGTTCCCGATATCATTTATTAGTTATTAGGTATAGGCACTATATAGACTGAAGGCGCGATCAAACAGTGAGCGTGATGCCGTATCAGTGGGGTACGCACTACGCAGACAACGGGTGGGCGCGATCCGGTTGTACATTATAAATATTTCACAGAGACCGCGCGGGCCGCGGGCAGTCCGTCTTATGTTTGAATGCGCCTTTATAATAATATTATACCTATATGTACTACAAGTGAATGTGTTGCGCAGCCCATATTCCACAAGAAATGGGCGTGGTTTGACCGTCTGGAGCGGTGTGCATTATAGATATCTTAAAACGTGTACTATTTGATACCAGTTGTATTAAAATTACAATGCATGTTATTATATGGTAGATATAGACGGAGAGCTATTATTATTATTAGTACTCCGTTCACCGTTGTTCGATCTTCAATGTTATACGCCGCAGACCGTCAGACTGATTCATGATTGGCAGTATTGACTATTGGCACTTTTCACTGATATAATATGTTGCTCTTCAATAGATCATAAACATTATTCTTACATCATCTGTGTACGTTAACACGTATGATCCCGTCTATAAGTTATTGATGTGTTTTGTCGCTTATTTAAATTGTATATATTATTGAATTCTAACTAGTTTACTACAGGCGTCAAAGTCACATTGCCGTGTGCGGGTAAGAAATCAGAATTTTAAATTTTAACAATATTTGTTTCAGCTGTCAATTTTTTTTTTCTCAAATTAACCTACGAAAACGTAAGTGTTAAGCTCCTCACCARCTACCGTTGCCCGTTGGTAATTGGGTTATCTTATGACGTATCTATTTATTAGTGATTTCTATTCTATATTCTTCATTAGGTTAATGTATATAATATATTTTGTACATAACAATGTTATACCTATATTACCTAGGTTTTAACAGTAATAACTGTTTACTTTATGATTTATATGATTCTCTTTGTCATAGTAGAGTTGAATAATCGTATAATTTTTTTTTTTAGCTCCAGTTTTCCACTATTTTGTACATTAAACGTTCCTACTTATTTTAAGCTTTGGACACGCATCATCATTCAGCACRATGGAATTATTGTAAGTACCTAACTAATAAATTATTACTTAAATGTTATTAGCCTTGTAATTCTATATAAATTGTTTTGATTTAAATAGATTTAAATGTTCAACTATTAAGATTTTTAAAAATATTTCTTGCAATCGAAATTTGTTTATTCCAGAATTCCTTATCATATGGTACTAATGTTATTACATTTTGTTATATAATTTACAGTTATGTTTAATCCTTGCTTGAATTTACTAGCTATATTAAAACCACAAAAATTAATTATGTTATAACTGTTCATGAAATTATAATTGCACCATTAAATTAAGAGAACACTGTACTCGCATGTCCTATCTCCTTCTTACAAACATACGACATAGCTAATTTGCTTTGAACCAAGCCATATTTGTGTTGCTTTAATATTAAGAGTGAAATTACCTATTAACTTAGGTAAGAATATTATAAAGTGTATGCTTTTATTGATATTTTAGTTTTAAAGTGAGATAACTTTGTAAGCCTTTATAATTTTTATAAGAGTATTTAAATCAATGTGGACGACCTTACCATTAAATTTGATAAGAGATCAATTTACTAAAACAGCGGTTCTCAAACTGTGCTCCGCAAAACCCTTGATGCTCCGCAGTGGCTTACCTAGAGCTTCATTCGTAACACCACAACAAATTTAAAAATTGTTTGTTATTTAAAATGAATATATATTTTGTGAAGACTTAAATGCCATTATTCACCGATATATTTACTGTATAAAATACCGATAGGAAAATTGTAAATTAAAATTAAATATTATTTTTTCCAATTCTTTTGATACTATTGTTTCACCTTTATTCATAAATATAATTTTATTTTGACTCCTGTATGCATACATTTCATGTTTATTATACTTCATAGAAGATAGAACACAGGCAGATAATAATTAACGTTAAATGGGAGCTCCACAAGAAACTTCTACTTAAAAGAAGGCTCCAAGGCTAAAAATGCTCATCATTTTCCAAGAATATAGAAATACCTTGATTTAATTTGAATGATCATTTTGGAGCATGCGCGTATCTTGGTATAAGCCATGAGTAGCAAAAATATAATGCAGTATATAGTAAAAGGGAAGCTATTAGTCATGTATTACATCTAAAAAAATCTGTGCTTAAATAACCTGCATTATATTTCAAACTAGAGCTCCTGACTTTCCAATTAATTAACATACCTACTGTACAATATACATTAAATTCAAGAGTTTTTAAATTGAAAAATAAAAAAATAAAATATTGAAATTAGATCATTTATTAATAGTTAATAGGTTTTTTGAATTATTTCTAACTAATTTTTAAAACTATTGCACTTAAGTACTTAAAAATAAATAATAAATATACATTGTACTTTTTTAATCTCAAGTTTTGATACATGGGCAGAGTATAGACAAACATAAGTGAAACATACCGAGAAATTAGTAATGCTAATAGCTCACCATGTTTGCCGCATAAACCAGTGACCATATTATCACTGGCAGCATATTGGCGTGCTCCATTCTAAGTAGATAGATAACTATGATTCAAATCAAAGTGAAAGGAAATATTTTCTTGAAAAACCAATTTGTATCTTACTCATTGTCAACCTACAATTTTGTTTTATAATACGTTAAAGTTTGACGTATTTTTCTGTAAAATATTTAATATGTTTTTTGAATCTTTTGTTTCTGTTTTATTTATCAAATCTACTATATAGAGAATTGAAAAGTTTGTAAACCTATCATTTGTCCTCGTGCCAGGGGTGCCCGTAGAATAGCTGCACAATGGGTTTAAAATTAAATTTATGCTTTTCAAAAAATATCTATCTTTGTATAATATGTGTATTAGAGCTAAACTGCCTAACCTTGTATTACCCATTCTAGATCTTACTTATGTTTTAATACAACACAAAAAATTATTAACAGATAATATGTATGTATAATATTAATATTTGATTTCATGTACACATACGACATACACAATAAATAATAATAATATTTAATATTAATTATTAATTACAATTTTCATTTCTATCGCTTTGACTTCATTTAAAGTGTCTTTCGCTGCAAATGGACATTTAATTTCTAATATAGAATTTTCACCGTCCAATCCATCTGAAGAACAAATATATTGCATACAAATTATTAGTTTAAAATTATGAAATAAAACAGTTAACAGGAACTGCAGCTAAGAATTCCTTGTACAAAATAGTCCACATTTGCACGTGCACATTATAAAGAGTTTCAAATTTAGCTTGTGCTAAAGGTTCCATAATTTGAATACCATAAGTTGTTTGTTTACACGTTGTGTTTGGCCTGTACAATAAGTTTGTATATTTTTCACTTTTGTTTCCTGGGACTACTTGTATTTTTTCTCATCTTGCACATCTCACCAAAATTTGACACTGTTAGCCTTTTTTCTTTCATTGTGCCGATCATTACTTAGACTTTGTTCTCTTGTTATATATTCTAAGTCTTCTCTATTGACTTGTCTAATTGTTTTAAAAATGTTTTTTTCTTTTCTTTAAATTGTTGTCGCTAATTAATCCATCTAATGGTTCAGTGAGCCCATAATCAGCTTCTGGACCACTATACTTTATCATTGGCTTTTTTCGTTTTCCACCTTCACAAAAAAGTTTTCTTCTTTTCATAACAGTGTTTTTCCGTTATCTTTCAATATTGGACATGTATCGTTTAGCAGTTATTAACTTTAACAGTATTATAAATAATAAGCGAAAACTATTATGAAAATAATTATAATAGAAATTATATTATGAATGGTTTTTTTTAAATTTTAATTAGCTCTTAGTGTAAAACTATAATAGCTCGACAATTATATGTATGAATGGTTATAAATTATAATTTATCAGGACTGGTGGTTTTAATTTTTTTATGTAGTTTTCTATTAATTTTTTGAATTATACAATAGAATTACTGCTTCCACTCGGGTTTTATAATTTTTATTTTTATTTTTTGTGTATAATTAATACGTTTTCCGCCATCATAATTGTACTATTCAATTGTTGACATTTTCAATTAAACTATCAGCGTGTGTGAATAATCTGTATACAACATAATTTATACTTATCATCATTTTAGATTGTTCTGCCAATGGAACAAGATTTATTTCGCCAGATTTTGTCCCCAAACAAAAATAAACAGCACAGTTATTGTGCTGTCCTAATCTATGGTGCGGACTATTTGAAATATCATTTCAAAGTTCTGAAATCAAAATTTATAATATATTTTACATTCAATTAAATTAAGTAAAAAAATTATGATCTATCTGCAATATTTGTTTGAAATGGTATACTAGACTCAATGTAATGTTTAGTTGCCTTTGTTATATCTAAGCGGAATCTAACAATATTTGTTAAATTATACTTCCTAATTGAAATAGGATAGTTCGTCTGTTTTGAAATTTCTGATAACTTTGTAGTGTAATTTCTGAGTAGATGATTTTTACATTCAATTTTCTTTACTCTAAAATCATTTCCATACGGCAATACCTCATTTAAATGCTTACTTACGGAACTATCACTGTCACCTATAAAACTATAGGACAAATATTATTATTGCTGTTGTTTCTAATTTTGTAATGCCCTGGAGTCCAAATGAATCGAATGTCTTTGTTTAATTAGAAAGAAGGCCATACATTTTTAAAACCAATGGTTCTGTTAGTATTTTGGATTATAGATTAGCTTAGGCACTGAGTGAGTTAGAACATATGAATATATTTTATACCATTGGTCTCTAAAACTAATTGGGCTCCTTTTAATAGTGCTAGATATTCATCTGTATAAATACTGCTTAAATTATTAAGTTTTAACAGTTTAGTTATGTTAAGGTGGACTACTGGAAGTCCTTTACCTTTACAGTTTTAGATGCATCAATGTAGATTTGAGTACTGGTATTTGAACTGTATATTAGTTCATTAAATAAATTATTACAAATAGTATTTGGTATCAGACTGTTTTCTCGTTGATATATTTGATTTACTTTTTATTGTTTTGATGTAACCTAATTATTAAGGCATTATTTATTGAAAAAAATTGTCTCTATTTTTTTTCTGTAGACATTTGGCACCAGAAACTAAAGACTTTCATTGTCCATTTAATGTAGCGCATACAATGCCACAAAAGACATTAACTAAGCATTTGACAAGATGCCCGGATAAACCACCCAATTTTAAGCATTGTATCTACAATTTATCACATGTAATGCCTGAAACAGAWTTGAAGGTAAAATATAAAATAATACTTATATTTTTTAATTATGTGTAATAGGTACTCATAAAAATTTAATATAAATTTTAGAATCATGAAGAAAATTGCCCAAATCGAATATTAATTGATGTAGCTATTTATGAAACAGAAGATATGACACGTCCAAAATCGAATGTAGAAAATGCACCATCAATAAAGTATGAAGAATCTTGGGATGGTGTAAGTATATTTTATACTGCTATTGGAGCTGGGTTATAGGTAGCTAGTTAATGAAATTTTTATTTTATTTTTTGTTATTAATAAAATATTCAGTGTCTTCTTAAACTGGTCCATAATGTTCTTGTTAACATAATGTCTATAGCTATAGGTTTTTCAAAAACTATATTAGGTGATCTATAAGAATACCTCGATGAATACCTCTTCTAGACTTATTAATTAGATTATAATATAAGATTGACCAAAACAAAAACTTATACATTTATTTTTTTAAGTTGGAACAAACCTCTGAAATCTTTAAGACCATCAAAACCAAAACAGCATCGATGAAAGCAACTCATAACATTACAAGATCAGAACGTAAACAACATCGTGTCAATTTACACGAAAATGATGTTAATAATGTAAATATTCTATATATTAGTATATACTAACAAAATATTTCCTAGTGGCTTTGTTTTTATCTTATTAACTTTAATTCATTTATTTTAATATTTATTTGGATCATTACACTTTGATACACAATTTATTATTATTATTTTTTTTAACTGAATTTTTCATATTCTCGACTATGATTAAACATTGCAATTGGTTAACATACATAATACTTTAATAACATATAATTTATTAATGTTTAGATGTGTTATATTGGTTTTTTTTTAAATCAATAAAGCTTGTGAGAAAAGAAAGTAATGATTTTCATTTTTGTCTTAATTTACAAGCTGGGATTTAGATGATATTTTTTATTTCTAATGTACTTATTATTCTAGATTTATCATAGTGAAGTGATAAGAATTTTGAAATCAGATTCTATTTGTCATATAGTCAACTATAGATCAACTTCACCAAATTTTTATTTTTTGCTTTAACATTGAAATATAACAATTATTATAAATTCTAATAACTAAATAAATTTTTTTTGGTTTTAGGAATATAAAATCAATAATGTGAGAAAGTTTATCTCTATTAGACAAGGGAAAAATGCATATTGATTTATTAAATTAATTAGTATAGTAGTAATAGAACTCATCAGAATTCTTATGTTAGGTTAGGTTAGTGATGAACCAACTCAGAAAATTGCCACATAGGAGTTATGAGGACACCACATCCGTAAATATTGTTTCAAAAATATACAACTCAGCAAAAAGTGTTATGCACGGAAAAAATTAACTGTTTGTGTTTATAATAAAATAGCAGCCAAAATTTGACAATATATCAGGAAGAATTTATCTCTACTGAAGTGTCTTGATTTTTTTGATTATATAAATACAATTATATTATAAGTTTGAGAATATAAGTTTTTTATTTTTTATTTAATTATTAAAAACTATTAGTTAGTGTTATCAAAAAAGTAAAGATGCTACAGTACAGATAAGGTAGAATTTTGGAAAGTCTACTATAAATACAGAAGGATTAAATTTTTCCTCGCAAAACAGTTTTTTGTGTTGTTTGTTTGTAGGACGAAAACAACTAGTGTTGGTGTGGCAGCCTCTTAATAATTATTCATGGATAATTTTTTACACAGCAATTGCATGCATATTTCCATTATTTTTATTTTTTCTTATTTTTCATTTTCTAATTGTTTAGGTTGATAGAGATGGAAAGAAACTGCTGAATAAGAAAATGGATACAAAACCATTATTCATTGGAAAGAGACCCAACACGTAAAACCAAAAGGATAAAAGTTTTGATAAATTTGACAAAAACAAACAAAAAGAAGATTAAACTTATTTAAATAAATTAAATAATAATAAAATTGTACACCACAATTTACTTTTTCATATTTTGATTGATATTAAATAATTTATTTTTTATCAAATCAACTTAGTTAATCATTTAATAATTTACTTATTCTTTTTGTATTAAAGGTATTTTGTTAATGTATCTTTTGTGAGATTATAGGGTTTTTAAGGCCCTATAAACCACCCACGACTCAAGGGGAGCACTTGAGTGGTGGCCTGCAAGCCGCACCGCGTGTTGACCCGAAAGCCAAGTCGGTGGAACTTACAGGTTTTAGTTCACGCATCAACAAATGAATGTTGAAGATTTATATAAAAAGAAAAGGGAAAACAATACTTTAAATAATAAGAAAGAGCTAGTAGGGTAATCATTGGGTTTTATTTTACAATGGCACAAGTGCAATAAATAATAAGATTTTTTAAAAATAATATGGGTATGGCAATTACAAAGTAAATATAATATAATGAATATAGTTGGGCACATGGTAATTACAAAATAAATATAAAAAATGAATAATATTTCGGCACATGGCAAGTGCATAAGGAATGGAATAGATAAAAATACGAATAATAATGCTACGGCTCTGACGAGCGGTTACCGAGCACATAATAGTCATCATATGTCGGTCTGACATACATACCTATAACATATTATACATTTACACATAATAAAGAATTGAACCATGGCTCCGCATGACGGTTACTGGGGCACCTCTTAGGAAAATTGGAGTGTGCATAAAAAAAAAAGAAGCGATGGTGATACATAATCAAAATGAAAAAAAGGGGAATGACTCGCAGCGGTCCGTCACGACACGTCGTTATCTTGTAGTATTTCATAGACATCCTGACAATATATAATAAAAATAATATTAATAATATGATATAATATTATAACAATCAAAATCGAGGTCAATACCAACCATACATTTCGAGGGGAGGTTGAATCCCTACCCCCCTTTATACGCCACTGATTCTATTAAAAGAGCCTCTAAATTCTATGACTTTACACTATGAATGAACAATGTTTAACATCTAAATTTTTGTATTACATTTTTTCTAATAGTGTATACAAAAAGGAATTGTTACTATTAAAAAATATTAAAATATTTAATAATATATTGTTTTTTTTTACCTAATACTTTGTAATTTGTTTTAAATTCATGATATGTGATAATTTCAGTTAAAATTTAGGTTTATTAAATTTTCTAAATGTTGTGTACCACTCATTGTTATTTGTTTGCTGATTGGGTTTTATTTACCTAATAATAATTTTGAGTAAAGCGCTCATAATTTTTATCATTTCCATTCCCAGAAGTATAGATCTTGTGTAGTTACTAGTTTGCTACCTACTGCTTACTGTGTTGGTATAAAATGCTGTCTACTGATAAATTATTACATTCATAAAATATGACATACATTATATATTATCACAGTAAAGTACCTACAACTTAAGTCATTTAGACAAATAACATTAACGGTCATACAACACTAAATACTCTTTATGATAACTTTTAATTATCCATCAAGATAACGTTAATTTACTTTTACTCTTATAATGTACAATAATTTATAATATTTTAAAACTATCACTATCAGAAATACATTGAGTAAGTTTTAGTCAAATCAATTTGAGTTAATTAGTAGGTAGAATATACCATTTTTGGTAAATAAATAGATGTATATAATTTTCTGGGAGGTACCTAATTTAAATGGTAGGTGACATACTACACAAATATGAATATTGTAAATGGTTTTGAATAGGATTGAGAACTTTATACCTTATAAAACCTTAAAATATGCATGCATTTATGCCGTAAAGAGTCACTAAATATGTTATGAAAATATGCATTTAAAAAATAAGTATGGGACGATCTTGTACATTCGGTGTACAGAAGAGAATTACCAACAGAAGTGTTAAATTTAATTTTAACGATTTAAAATCATTATGTTCAAAAAACGATTCAGAGCGAAGACAGTCTATCAAACTAAAATATAAGTAGGTATATTTTATATTAATGTAATTTGTTTTAGTGTATTATTGGCATTAGTACGCTATAGAAGTTTGAATTCATTTTTGTTGAAAAAATTGTAAAAATTGTAATTATATTTATTTTTTATTTTTGTAAATACAAAATAAACTATCTACATGGAACTTTGCTTTAAATTTTCAATCTTAAACTATAAATAATTAACATTTGATAAATTTTGAAATGCAAAATAATTCGTAAATTTTCAATTTGATAAATTTTGCAAACTTATAAAATAATCGTGTGTTTTTCGATAGTATGCGCGGATGAAGCGATACATTAATCTTTGTATAAATAGGGTATGAAAAAAAGTTTGTTGGTCGACAAGGTCAAATATTAAGTTAGTATTAGAAAAATAAAGAATGAAATTTTGAACTTTATTATTAGTTATTACAAAGGTATTATAATATTGCGTTTTAGTAGAAGTGGAGTTTAACTGTAGATATTTAAATTGTATAAAGTATACAAAGATAATATTTTAATAATGTATAATGGCCAATATTATAATTAATTACAAMTCATAACTTATGACTACTCTTATGACTTATTTATAACTACGTACTATAATATTATATCAAAAAACTACCAATTTATATAATCTTATACCTATGTCCTATGATATTGTACAAATTCAAAAAACATAATATTAACCCTTTTAACCCCCAGGGGGCCTATTCTCAAAGGCATCGAAAGCAGTGGTCGAATAAAACTGTTCGATTGTGAATATTCGATCATTAATATTTATTCGACACATTATATTCGATCAATCGTATTCTGAAACAACTATCGAATATTGAATGTCGAATATTATTTTATTCGATATACTTTTCGATTATCGAATAAAACCATTGTTTTGTCCATGTAATTTTCAGTTGTTATCACAAATTGATTGCTGATAAAAAA